AGGGTTGGTACAGCGTTTTTACAGACAGAGACAAATAGCACAGGGGAGGTTTCAAATTATGAGGGGCCTGATTAGTTGATTTTAAAGTAAGGACATTTGTTGTTCTCTGATTGGGCGTCCTTTGTCCTTTGGCGGGAAGGCTTTGTCCGTTACTTGTGGAGGGAGGAAAAAGGGGGAAGGGGGAAGGGGGGAAGGGGGAAGGGGAGGAATGTGTTGAGCAAGCAGGTTTACAGAAGCGAGAAATGCCGGTTAGTTCATGTACAATCACTCATTCCATTACATATCAGACTACATTTAGGAAGTTTTACAACCCATTCTACTACACAGCGGGTTACATTCAGGAAAGGCCTCACAATGCTCGTGGCAAACAGCAAGCAAAACAGACTTTTCAGCAATTGTATTTCTTATCAAAGATCCATAATAAGCAGAAAAGAGAACCTAGCTTTAAACTAAGGCAGGGCTGTCATAATGCCCATAAACCTACCTATCTAATGTCCCTTTGCTAGGTAAAGGGTTTCATTTTTTCATACACATATGGAGGAAACAAACTCTTAAATATAAAGTCTTTCAAAACAAATAAACAAATCTATTTCTGGTGCGTGTTAACTTTCACAGAGATGTTTCTTTCTTTTTTTTTCCCATTACTGCAGACAAAAAGAAAAATTTATGATGAAAATCTATCAGTCACAGGAGCCAACCTAGGAGTTCAAGAGAAAAGCATCAATTAAAACTAGCTATATTTAAAAAGAGTGAAATTTATTATTTGAAAAAATTAGGGCAGAATATGTTACCAAACTAGTATTTTATTCCAATCAATAAGTATCTAATAATATTCTGATAATAAACATTAACATTATACAGAATTAACTAACAAAATTTGCAATGCTGAAAGGAAATATTTAGATTTACTTCACACACTGACACTCTCAGTTTATGTCGGTTTACATGCATATAGTATCCCCTGGTATACATAACAAAGATACACACTGTCACCTTAGAAACAAAACCATTAACGCTTAACTTCCTTTTTATATAAAATTTACTTTAGAAAATATTCTTTACAAAAACTAGTCATTTTTTAAATCTTTGGAATTTATTTCTGTTTTTCAGTTACTTCTAGGTTTCCTCTTTAATTTATAATAAGGAAAATATTAAAATTCCTTTATAATTAACCTTGCTTTAGAATGATTTCACATGTATTTTACTTTAAGTGGACTAATAAAATTGTAAATTATAATAATGACATACTACATTAAGTTAAAAGTTAGGTATCTTCTGTGACCTGAAGAAATCAGTTAAACTTGGGAAATCTCAGTTTTGGTTTTGTTTTGTTTTTAACATGGGGGCTAATGCCAGGACTTTTGAAATGTGGCCATATAATGAATTATTTGGAAAGATTTTAAAATAGTGTCTACCTCCAGGCCCCATACAGACCAATTAAATTGGAGTCTCTGTATCAAGCTTAGGCGTTGTATTTTTGTAAAGTTCCTGATGTGATAAATTAGTACATAAATCCAAATAAAATATATAAAGATCATAAATGTCTAGTTTTATATTTGTCTTTTAAAAATTATCATTTCATGAATAGATTATCTTAACTAGTTTAAAAAGTATTATACCTATGTATATATGGTTGTAAGATAATAATACTTCATTTCTTTCAAAGAGAACAGCTAGTACTGTTATCCGACAGTATATTTACAATTAGATCAATATTTGGCCAACTTTGATAACATTAACTGGATGCTCCAAACATACTGAGTATTTGTTGAAAGGCATTGCAATAGGAAATTCATTTATGAATTTCTCCTCTCCAATGCATCCCCCCTCTCTGACCTACCATAGCTACTGTTTCTCGTAGTTGGTTACAGGCTAGTGAACAGGGGAGGGCCATGGTTGTACAGTACATATGTATGAAGGTGGGAGGTGGTTCTTCCCAAACTTAGGTCCTAATAGTCCTTCTCCCATTGCTAGCTTTATTCTCCCTTTTCTCCAAGAATACAAACCATTATGGCAGTGCTGAGAGAAAGAGAGAGAGAGAGAGAGAGAGAGAGAGAGAGAGGGAGAGAGAAGAAAATGCATCTGTAATACCTACAAGTGTGAGACCTGTAGGAGATATCACACAGGGAGATGAATGCATCTTAAGTAAAACTTGTTTGAAGGGCAGCGGTGTGAGAAAAATAAAGTGAGTTTATAATTATTCTACAGAATCCAACTAGGAAAATAAGCTAGTTCCCAAGGTTCATTAGACTTAAGAGGAATGAGAGATCACTATGAGAAGGAGGATCTTTTATTTGGTGCAATTAAAAAGTCATTCTAGGGGGCGCCTGGGTGGCTTAGTCAGTTAAGTGTCTGACTTCAGCTCAGGCCATGATCTCACAGTCCGTGAGTTCAAGCCCCTCACCGAGCTCTGTGCTGACAGCTCCGAGCCTGGAGCCTGCTTCTGATTCTGTATCTCCCTCTCTTTGCCCCTCCCCTGCTCGCACTCTGTCTTTGTCTCTCTCTCTCTCTCTCTCTCTCTCTCTCAAAAATAAACAAACATTAAAAATTTTTTTTAAAAAAAAGTCATTCTTGGAGCACTTAGCTGGTTCAGTCAGTTAAGTGTCCAGCTTGTGATTTCGGCTCATGGTTCCTGACATTGGAATTCGCTCTCTCCCTCTCTCTGCCCCTCTTCTGCTTGTACTTTCTCTCTTTCTCTTTGTCTCTCTCTCTCTCTCTGTCTCTCTCTAAATAAGTAAATACATATTGTTTTCCCTAAAAAAAGTCATCCTTATTAATATCCTCCCAATGGTCTGGATTACTGTACTTATTTGAATACTTAGTTGAAATTTGAGCCATGGTACATCAATTAAAATATATAGCAAGGGATATAATTTGCAGTCTCACACTGGAGGTACAAAAATGGTATAGGTTTTCATTTTTGAAAATGGTATAGTTTTTCATTTTTCACTTTTTGAAAATGGAATCAAATTTGACACCTACAAGATTTGATGGAAAATCTTGGTTCCTTTATTTGGGAATTTGCCTTCGCTCTTCCTAGGGGTCCAGAAATTTGTGGAGGCCTCTTGCTATTCCTAGGAACAGGTCTATGGTGAACTGTCTTCATCCCCCTTGCCCCGCATCTATGGCCATTTGAGAGCAAGTGGCTTCACTGGCAGCAGCCTCTCCTTTCCATCAATCTGGGGACACCTGGGGACTAGACCAAGTTTCTGTCATGCCTGGGATCTTTAGTGGAGCCACTTGCAGAGGATACATTCCTTCCTTCTCTCAGTCTTATGGAAAGCAGTTTCACCAAGTTGGTTCACCTGCTTTTCCTTCAACCCTTGGAGGCCTTGTCCTTTTTCTGTTAGCACCCTATGCTGCTGTAGGAAAGGAAGAATATCTTTTTCCTTTACCCTTTTAAGTTCGAGGCCAAAGCCCTGTAACAAAAGACAAATTAACACAATAAAAGCATACATTTTTTTTAATTACAAGTTTTACATGACAGAGGAGACTTCAACAGGAAATGCAGATCTGAAGAAGCAGTTAAACCTGAGTTTTTAATGCTAGGTTTGATGAAGACTGAAAGGTCATGGGGGAATGTGACAAGATAATGAAGGGTATGAGCTAAGAGTAGTAAACTGGGGGAACAGTAAGGCCTATTTCTTTTAATTCCTCTCAGTGTCTTGGAGATAAAGATATATAGGGAGGGCACCTCTCACAGGAGGGTTTTATGACCTCCTTAGGGGAAAGTCAGAAGGTCTTTCCATTTCTCAAATTCTCTCAGCTGAAAATATTTAGTATGCCCAGGTGCCATATTTTGGTGTAAAATGCGCAGTTTTGAATCCCATCACTGCCAAGAACACCAGTGTTTAATAACAAACATGTTTAACATTTTTCTGGCACAAGAGAAGCCTAGGCCCCAAGGATTAAAGTTCTGCTTGTCTTTCATGTTGCACAGATCCAATGCGACTCAGGTGGAGAGTGGTAGGCAATCTATTGTTGTGGGTTTTTATAAAATATATTTCCTGGATATTCTATTCTGCCACATTACACAATGCCAATTGAATTCTCAAAGCCATTTGATGTGTTTTGAGACTTTTTAAACAACCAACTCAACAAAGATGGGGAAAGGAGATGGGGAAGCTACTTTTGTCTGGCAGGGGACAAGATAATTTCGTTTATAATTCTGTTTTTCTCTCACATTGAGCACACTAAACATGACTGTCTAGATATGAGCAGCCCACTATTTATTTGTGTGTAAAAGCATCAGCAATGAAAGAACAAGACAAGACAATGGGAACAGAGATATGCGTGATTGGCTACTCATGCTGGGTCATTGCTGAGGCCGACCTGCATGGAACACGTTGAGTCTTCAGACATGAATTGGTTTGCTAGTGAAACTGCATTTGTTGCAGTCAAAGGAGAGTTGTAAGATAGACAAATCACTAAAATTCTGATTTATTTGAATGAGACATAGATACAGAGAACAATCTTTGCATATGTATATATAAATATATGCATATAGATATATAGAGTGACAAAATGTATAAATCTAATATATCTACTTCAGGTATGTAAGTACTCCTTTAATTTTTTTTAATTTGTCTTATCTACAACACCAGTTATTGAAGAGGGTGAGTACTTGCTTAGACTCTGGTAAATTTCTAGTATGACTAGATGGGCTGATATACTTCCTATAAAAATTCTGCTTCTAACATTTTTTCTTTGCCTTCGTCCATTTATGATCGGGTATAGTTGCTAATTTAGACTTCCTTGTGGAGCACAATAAATATGAGAGCTCTCAATAAAATCTATACGTTTAAATTATATTTTAAAATATAAATGTAAAAGAATAATTATTTTCCTGAGAATGTGATATTATCTTTGGGAAGAATTATAAGTTATTTATTATCCTTATTGGAGTTAATTACATTAATTATTAGTACTGGATTAACAATGCCAAATGGAAGAAAGTTAATTAATTGAATACGCATTTTTTTCATTTCTTTCTGTTTCAGTTGATTTATCTTTAGTGAATAAGGATGAAAATGCCATCTATTTCTTGGGCAATTCTCTTGGCCTGCAACCAAAAATGGTTAAAGCATATCTGGAAGAAGAACTAGATAAGTGGGCCAAAATGTAAGTATTATTTCAAAAGCTATCATTTGACATCTCACACAAGGACTTTATTTTTTTTTCTACAAATTTTTATTTAAATTTCAGTTGGTTACCATGCAGTGTAATACGGGTTTCTGGTGTTGAATTTAGTGATTCATCACTTACATATATATAACACCCAGTGCTCATCACAAGTGCCCTCCTTAATCCCCATCACCTATTTAACCCACTCCCCTGTCCCCCTCCCCTCCAGTAACCGGCAGTTTGTTCTTTACAGTCAAGAGTTTGTTTCTTGGTTTGCCTCTTTTTTCCCCCCTACTATGTTAATCTATTTTATTGCTTTTTTTTAAGATTTTTTTTTTATGGTTTATTTATTTTTGAGACAGAGAGAGACAGATCATGAACGGGGGAGGGTCAGAGAGAGAGAGGGAGACACAGAATCGAAACAGGCTCCAGGCTCTGAGCTGTTAGCACAGAGCCCGACGCGGGGCTTGAACTCACGAACCGCAAGATCATGACCTGAGCCGAAGTCAGATGCTTAACTGACTGAGCCACCCAGGCGCCCCTCTATTTTATTTCTTTTTTTTAAAAAATTTTTTTTTCCAACGTTTATTTATTTTTTGGGACAGAGAGAGACAGAGCATGAACGGGGGAGGGGCAGAGAGAGAGGGAGACAGAATCGGAAACAGGCTCCAGGCTCTGAGCCATCAGCCCAGAGCCCGACGCGGGGCTTGAACTCACGGACTGCGAGATCGTGACCTGGCTGAAGTCGGACGCTTAACCGACTGCGCCACCCAGGCGCCCCTATTTCTTAAATTCTACATATGAGCGAAATCATATGGAATTCTTTGACTGACTTACTTCGTTTAGCATAATATATTCAAGTTCCATCCACATTGTTGCAAATGACAAAAATTCCTCCTTTTTATAGACGAGTAGATTTCCATTGCATCTATATCCTCTTCATTATAGATGGACAGTTGGGTTGTTGCCATAATTTGGCTATCGTTAATAATGCTGCTATAAACATCAGGGTGCATGTATCTCTTCGAATTAGTAAGAGCTTTAAAAATCACACTAGGTTATCTAATATTTAGAAAGGTATACAATAGACTCCAGGAAGTTTAGGATACAGAGGGACCTTAGGAATCATGTCATTCAATACTCTTATTTTATTAATGACATAACTAAGGATCAGTAAATAAGGTCAGATGACAAGTTAGTGGCAGAGTCAAGAATAACACTTTTACAATATTAGAAAAAAAGTCCCTCTCCCAAGTTGATATATCTAAATCATATGTAATCATTTTATTTTATTTTGTGACTAATTAAAGGAGTTAATATTTAGAATTCAATTCAGTATTTTCATGAGTCATTCCAGCTAAATTCTATCACACTGATTTTTATAAATAAGAAAGTAAAAATTATCGAGAGGGAGAAAATAGTGGAGCAGAAGGTACTGCTATCCCCAAACTGAGCGTGCTTACTAAAAAGATACTCTGGGCTTAGTTAAGTAGGTTTGCTCCAACCATGTGGGAATCTGAAATCATATCTTTTTTTTCCCCCTCCATCTCTTCTGTTCTATTTTTACTCTTCTGCCTATGAAACCCTTCATACCTTCTGCTTCCCTGGATGCTTACCTTTCTTAATCTCAACCTTCTCAATCATGCAGATGATCTCTTCTCCCCAACTGCCCATTGCATTAATAATCACTGCTCTGGGATAAGTAGTTTAGAGGTATCTATTTTCATTGGCTTCATATTCTCAGCCATATTATAAATTCCTTTAGGGAAATAACTTAATCCTATGTGCTTCTTATCCTTCCTCAGTAGTTACTAATAAAGCTGAAACTGAAAATACTTTAAAAATACTTTTAGCTATAAAAAATGTAACATTCTTTTTACAGCTTATTTATTTAGTTTTGAGAGAGAGAGAGCACGAGTGGGGCAGGGACAGAGAAAGGGAGAGAGAGAATCCCAAATGGGCTCCACACTGTCAGTGCGGAGCTGATGCGGGGCTTGAACCCATGTACCATATCATGACCTGAGCTAAAGTTGGACACTTAACTAACTGAGCCACCCAGGAGCCCCCCAAATTTTAATATTATTTTTAAATTGTTTAATATTTACACTATTAAAAACAAGACCTGTGAAAAGGTGCTCAATATCACTCATCGTCAGGGAAATGCAAATTAAAACCACAGTGAGATATCACCTCTTACCTGTCAGAGTGGCTTGAATAAAAAACATAAGAAATAACAAGTGTTGGCAATGATGTGGAGAAAAAGGACCCTTCACGCACTGCTAGTGGGAATGCAAACTGTTGCAGCCACTGTGGAAAACAGTGCAAGGGTTCCTCAAAAAATTTAAACTAGAATTACTGTATGATCCAGTAATTCCACTATTGAATATTTGCCCAAACAAAACAAAAACACTAGTTTGAAAAGATGTGTGCATCCCTATGTTTATTGCAGCGTTGCGTACAATAGCCAAGATACGGAAGCAACTCATGTGTCCATCCATAGATAAATGGATAAAGATAAAGATGATGTTTATATATATATATATATATATATATATATATATAGTCCATTTTTAATATTTTTCTTCATTTTTAAAAAAATTCAAGTATAAATAACATATGGAGTTCATTAGTTTCAGGTATACAATATAGTGATTCAACAATTCTATATTTTAGTCAGTGCTCATCACTATAAATGTGCTCTTAATCCTCCTCACGTATTTCAGTCATCCCCCCACCATCTCCCTCTGGTAACCATCAGTTTTTTTCTCTTTAGTTAAGAGTTTGGTTTTTTGGGTCTCTTTTATTTTCCTTTGTTCATTTGTTTCTTAAATTCCACAACTGATTGAAATCGTGTGGTATTTGTCTTTCTCTGACTGACTTATTTTACTCAGCATTGTACTGTCTAGAGCCACCCACATTGTTGTAAAGAACAAGATTTCATTCTTTTTTAGGATGATGAATCATCCTAAGCGATTCAGTGAATCGCTTTTTTGTTGAGTACTTTTGCGTGCCCATGAAAGAAACTTTTCCTGTTAATCTATCTCATATCAATCAACCTGCAGGCCCTCAACCAAAAGGATGTAAACTAATAGAGGAAAAGTTTTCATCCCAACAGAAACTTAGCTGGAAAAGTCCAGAGTAAAATTTTAAGCTAAACATTTAGGACCAAAGAAATAATGAACACTTTTGAGATCAAAGATGGGCAGTGAGATAGGATAGAACACGATTTTGATCATGGCCCTCAAACACCACTGACATCCACAGGGCAACAGGGACCCTGATGTTGACTGGGCCACCACAATTTAAAGCAAAAAGACCAGGACCACCTGGATGGCTCAGTCGCTTGAGCGTCTGACTCTTGGATTTGGCTCAAGTCATGATCTTGCAGTTTGTGGGTTTGAGCTCCACAACAGGCTCTGCACTGATAGCATGCAGCCTGCTTGGGCTTTTCTCTGCCCCTCCCCTGCTCCTTCTCTCTCTCTCACTCTCTCAAAATAAACAAAATAATTTAAAAAATAATAAAGCAAGAAGGCTAAATAAAACAAAACAAAGACAAAATAAAACAAACTAGCTACCTCATCTTTTACTCAGAAGTCTTTTTAAAATTTAGTTGACATTGCTTGAAGCATTAATAATGCACCTCCTTTCTGAATCATCTGTCTAATGAAAAATAGGTAGAAGGGCTTAAGAATATGTAATTTTCCATTGTCACAAGGTAAAATATAAAATTTAAAATCAACAACAATAGAAGGGTGTTATGACATAAAGACACTTCCCTGGAATACAACTTTAAAGTCTTGAAAACAATCAACCAGTCTCCTAGTAAAGTACGGTAATCATAGCAGATGAACAGGACAGCAGGGCAGAATCTTTTTTAAATTCCTAAAGGATAAAAATGCACAGCCTTGCTGAATGAATATCCAGGGGGCAAGGACACTCTAAAGTTCAAATCCAATCTAATTCTCTGCTCTCTTTTATATTAGGGCCAAAAATGAATATTAACCATTTTTATTAACTATGACCCTCATTTTTTAAATACTAAACCCTGCTAGTGCAAAATGCTTCCAAATGTGGTGATATTTACTTTTCAATTTATGCATACAAGTTATGCAGATAAAGTTATACAGGCTTAATAAATTATGTAAGCCTCTATGATTTTTGCATTGAGTTGTGAATTTATATTCTTAACCACTGAAATTAAGAACTTTGCAATGTTATGGGGTGCCTGGGTGGCTCAGTAGGTTAAGCGTCTGACTCTTGGTTTCAGCTCAGATAGTGATCTCTTGGGTTTGTGAGTTCGAGCCCCACATTGGGCTCTGTGCTGGCAGCACGGAGCCTGTTTGGGATTCTCTCTCTCTACCTGTCTCTCTGCCCCTTATACACTCACACTGTCTCTGTCTCTATCAAAATAAATAAATAAACTTAAGAAAAAAAAAAGAACTTTGCAGTGTTATCTAATGCCTGTGGTACTAGCACAGGCAGTGTTAAAATAAACTTGAAACAGAGGCACTGTTACCAATATGAAGGACCAGTGGCATGAAAACTGAAGAAAGAAGAAGACAGAGTTTCCATGAGAGCCAAATGTCTTGCTCAGAATTCTTATCTGATTTGGTTTCGTTTTCCTGCATTTTTTTCCCTGACTTTCAGGTTTGGCTTCCCTTCATATCTATTTTGAGATTCTAATAATCAGAATATATTTTTTAAATATTTCTAATCATTTTCAGAATGTTCTCCCTAAGTCTAGTGTTTCTTAGGCTGCTGTTTGTTCACATGCTTTTAATTTAAGTAATCTTCTTGCCACTATGGTGGGCTGTTGGTCTATTCACTTGTCTGGCTTCTGCTTGTGTTTTTGTACTAAATACCCCCACATATGTTTGGTTTGCCTCTAGGTCCAGGGCCTCCCATTATTGTGGTGAGTTTTTCTGATTATCTGTTTCTCTTCACCTTCTCCAACCCCACTTCAGCCCTACTTCTTAGCTGATAACCAAATCAGGCCAGTGCCTTCCTCTCTTCTTGACCAGTGGAAGACTTCAAGAAGGACTGAGTCAAAGAGAGCTACACAGTTCCTAAATAATGCAAAGTGAAATTAGTTTCTTAACAGGAAAAAATATATTAAAAAATTATAATCTTAGCAGTAACTAAAAATTACAGTACTTAGCCTAAGTGAAATATTGCTCTGGGATATTGATACCAAGTCTGACTGGCCATTTATGACATATAAGGTAGGAAATGCCACTTGGCTTATGGCTATTATTGTCCGTATCTCTATCTTTTACATCCTATCACAGACTTAGTACCTACCTATCTACAAAATAAACCATCGCTGGCGATAAGGCAGACTGATTTTTATAATTCATAGGGCTACCATCTTTGATTAATTCAGCTAAAGGAAAGTCAAGAATAGAGGCACACTTAGAAATATTTTTGGACCAGGGTGCCTGGGTGGCTCAGTCGGTTAAGCATCCGACTTCGGCTCAGGTCCGACTTCGGCTCAGGTCATGATCTTGCGGTCGGTAGGTTCGAGCCCCGCGTCGGGCTCTGTGCTGACAGCTCAGAGCCTGGAGCCTGTTTCAGATTCTGTGTCTCCCTCTTTCTCTGACCCTCCCCTGTTCGTGCTCTCTCTCTGTCTCAAAAATAAATAAATGTTAAAAAAATTTTTTTTTAAAGAAATATTTTTGGACCTAACTGATTTCTTCTAAAATTTTAAGTTATTCAAGACAAAACAATGAAAATAATGCACTTACCTCTGTGGATTTTGTTTAACTTCTCATTATGGCTATTTTCAACTGCATGCGATTTTTAAAGTAGATTAATAACACTTTACTTGGGAGAATTATTTCTGCTTTGTGAAATGACAGCATTTAGATATTTTCAATATTCTGAAATAGAAAATTTTTATGATTATTTGACTCATTTCACATATGATAATTTATTATCAGAAATGGGGCTATAACCATAAGAAACAGCATTAATATGCTTGAATACTGTGGATTGGCCAGAATTTTTTTAGAAATTTAAAATGACATATTTATGTATTATGGATTTACTAATGGCCCAGATTAAAGGAGAGTAACATGGGTTAATAATCATAGTGGGAAAGTTTGGCTACACGAGAAAGATATATCCGTCCCAAAGAGCACACTGTAAGTTGAGAAATGTATATTAGGTCTCTAAGATATAATCACAATACTTTAGGTTTTTTTTCATTGTCATATCTACTAGGTATATGGTTTTCTTTCTTTTTCATAGGTGCAAAGACTTGACCCAGTTTGTATCTTTACGGGGATTCTTCTAAGACCTGTGACATTTTAGGTCGACTTATTTAAGAAAATGGCCCACTGAATTTCACATTAGGAACAAACCGCCTAGTGTTCAGACAATGCATGACTTGACATGGCAATGTGTACAGGGAGGGTGCTGGTGACACACGTGGGAGAGGCATGCTCCTGCTGACACTACAGTTTCATTCAATTCAAGTGTTTCTGTAAAAAAAAAAAAAAAAGTGTATTCTAGGAGAGAAAAATGCTCCCTCTACCCCCTACGTTCAACAACTGATCTATAAAATAAACTGACAACACACAGATTAATAAGAAATAATAATTAATATTTATTAATTGTTAATATTATATGCATGAGAGCATGGCAGGAAAAAAAGTGAAAACCAAAAAAAAATTGGTGACATTTGAGAGCTTATATATCATTTTAAGAGGGGAAGAGGAGGAAAATGTAGGCCACATAGAGGAGAATAAATTATTTTTAGGAAGGATGTAAAGCACTTAGAAGAATAGATGGGAGACCTGAGAGTTTGTGACAAAGTCATCTAGGTGTGGTGTTGACTTGTAGGCTCCTCTCTGGAAAAAGAGTCAATCTTCCCTGGTTGATGAAATTCCTGGGGAAGGATTGATGATAGTTGAGTTCCCTTGGAGGACCTGTCTTCAGGCAGATGGGGGAGTTCAGAGGAATCTAGTCCCTGCACCTGCTGTTCATCAGGTGCCTTCAGCTCAAGGTATTCTTTATGCCAAAGAGGCAAATTTTAGTGTGGCATAGTCTGCCAGCCTTCAGCATGAATAAGAAAGTACATGGAATTACATGTTACAAAGATTTTCCTGACATCTGTGTTGGCCAATCATTAATGTCTTATTTATTTACTCATGGGCGGGGCTGGGAGGAGCTTTAAAAAGCTGGGCTAATTTTTATTTTGTAGGATGGTTAAAGCATGGTCCTATTTCAAAGAGGATCCACTATTAACTTCCTAATAGGCTTTTATGTCCTGAGATCTAATTTCGTGAGCAGATAGCACTCCATAGACATCTCAGAGAGCACCTCACTCAGGGAGAATGATTTATGCCTCAATGGGGAGTGAACTGTTTGCCACGCTCTTTTCCTTTCCAGCACTTGTAAAAGAACATTCCAACTGTGCTGCAAGTATTTTAGGCAGTTTTGAATGAGAGCAATACCATCGTTTTCTCTGATACATATGTTTAAACTTGCACTGTAATCTACATCAACTCTTTATAAAGACAGGCCACTTTAGTTGGAGTTTATTGGGGTAACAACTTCCTAAATACATTTCACTACCCCAGGCTAGTAGACTGACAAAATGAAGAAGCAGACTCTGTGTGTGATATTTTAAAGGGGGGGAGATGGCAAATGCATTGCAAGAAGAAACATACTCTTAAAGATTATTGCCACGGTGTCTACCAGAGTGAGAAGTAGGTGGCATAATATTCTGAGATATAAATTCTCTGAGGCAGAACATAGAATTTTACTACCTAAATGTAATAAGATGTATTGTGCTATCAGCAAGGCCACGGAGCTCTGTGTGATTAAAATAAAAAAGGATCCAAATATCTGCCTTTAACTACCATTTAATGATAATGATTTTTGTCTTTAGCATTTATATTGGAAGTCAAGAAGAGGCAAGCTGCAGGCTACCTAATAATAATATGAATAATAATAGCTAGCAATTGCCCTTCTCTTCCTCCTCAGTTCTTACAGTCTCTGTTTATCCTCAAAGAAAGTCCTCTTCCCTCATGTCAGTTTATACGGTAATCAAAATATTAGTTTAAAAACTGCATTGTAACCCACATGCCCAAGAAGGGAGTTGTAGCATTAGATTTACGTTAGGGAATAGTCAGAAAAAAGGTGTTACATGTTATTCCATTGCAATCCTTTAAGGTACATATTGCCACCCATTTACTTTTGCTTTTACAGGCCTTATCAGCTTCTAATACATATAGTGTCATAACCAGTGGTGACCTGGAATTGGCTGTGACCAGGCAATAAAAACCAGTCATTAAATATTCAGGAATATTGTGGATGCCAAGAAATGGACCACAGGGAATATTCACACCGTCAAATCAACAAAAGCTAAAAACAGGGGTCCTTTCCTCTTGTTACCTCACTGCTCTCTCAGGGAGAAAAAAAAATTCCCCATATCCTTCTGAATTCTTAGCTGAGACCCCTATAATAAAAGATCAGCAAGAGAAAAAAACCCCACATTTATTAGCATGTATACCTTAGGTACACATGGGAGACACGTGCGGGGGAAAAGAGCTCCTCGCAATGACTTAGAATTCAGGCTTAAATCCTATCTTAATAGGGAAAGAGGAGGAGGATAAGAGGAGAGGCCACAGAGGAGAGAATAAGTGATTTTCAGGAAAGACGAAAGAGCCCTTAGGAGAATAGATAAAAGATAGAATAGATTGTGACAAAGCCCAACTGGATGTGGTGTTGACTTCTAGTCCCCTTTCCTGTGACAAGAGTCAATCTTTTCTGGTTGATGAAACTCCCAGGGAGGGGATTGATGACAGCTGAATTCCTTTTGGGGATCTGTCTTCAGGCAGATAAGGGAGTTCAGGGACAACCTCTCCCTGTATTAGCAGTTTTTTTTTAAGCCTGCAGCTCAAGATAATCAATACACCACAGCGACATGTTTCGGGGTGACATATTCTGCCCCCCTTCACCTCTGACAGCAGGTTTACCACGTCACCACTGCCAGCTCACTGGATTTCAAGTATAGATCCAGGCACAGACCGCACTACACAAAACATACATGCTTATGCCTTTCCTACAACTTTATGCAGTCTTTAGATTCCTAAAGAATTAAGGACAGTCTAATTCAGAGTTCCCTAAGGCACAAGTTTGAAACAGCACATGAAGTCACTCCCCACCTTGATTCTTTTTCAATTCTTTTCTGCGTATTTCAAAAGTATTTGCCTTCCTCATGTAATGGAAACTTCTTGAAAGTTAAAGTTCTCTTAGGCATTTTGTGTTTTGTCATTTTGCCTAACGGGGATATTTACTTACTAGAAGAATAAAATTGAGCTATAATATGGTAGATGTAATTGCTAGAAAACAGGTCAAGATACAGTGTTTGCTTTGATTATTGCCAAGTTTATTTATCTACTTAAAATGTCATCATGAGTGTAGTCATGTTATATAAACTCTTATTTAGTTTACAGATTGTACCTGTATTTAAAAACTGAATTCGTAATCATTTTAATCTTTAGCCTCAAAAAATAGTAGCTATGTTTTAGTGTAGATACTACTTACTATATACTTACAGGTATACAAGTAGAATGTTCAAATAGTCTTGAAATTTTCAAAATAAAGAAGAAAAAGGAACATCTTAGATGCTAAAATAGAGAAAAAAAATGGAATAGTACATGGGCAGTCTCAAGTACCCTCCAAGAAACTAGTAATGTTTATGTCCCTTTCCAATTTCAGGGGAGCCTACGGTCATGAGATAGGGAAACGTCCTTGGATTACAGGAGATGAGACTATTTTAGGCCTTATGAATGACATTGTAGGTAAGTACAAAATGGATTTTTCCCAAAAGAATCATAAAGGCATTACCATTTAGATATAAACCTGGATTATAAAGTAAAAATCTTATTGAAGAACATCCTGATTTTCTATTTTAACCCAATAACGTAAAGAATGAGGATACCTTTGAGACCTGGTGGCTATAGAGAACATAACTGGGTTATTTAGTACAGAAGTAAAATAGTTTATTATTTTTTCTTGTGTATTTTAACAGTAACATTTACTCTCTAATAAAAAACACATGCATTGTATTTATTTGTAATTAAATAAATCTCATAAAAATCAACTTAAATTTTCTAATACTTCATTATACTTGATAAAGTAAACACTAACCTTTACATGCTAAAATCCTAAAATGCCAAGCAGGGTTTGGCTTGTTTCAGTTTGATCCATGGTGATAAATTTCAAGTTAAGCTGAGAATTATTAGAAATAATACGGTTGATGCTGTTCTTTGGTTTATGTGTTTCCTAAAATGAGTTGTATGTACTCTAGGTAATATTCAAGGAAAGTTTTAGATGGTGAATATGTTGACATTTTGAAAAAAGTTATTTAATTGGGGGGGGGGGATGCCTGGGTGGGTCAGTCAGCTGAGCATCTGACTTTAGCTCAGGTCATCTCCTGATTCACAAATTTGAGCCCCTCATCAGGCTCTGTGCTGACAGCTCAGAGCCTGGAGCCTGCTTCAGATTCTGTGTCTCCCTCTCTCTCTGCCCTTGCCCTGTTCATGCTCTGTCTCTTTCTCTCTCAAAAATAAATAAAATTTTTAAAAAATTAAAAAAAATATTTAATTGGGTTAAATATTCAGCATTGCTTGAAATCTTGTATGATATTTACGGCATTGAACAAAAAATTAATGATATTTAAACAATTGGAGTGCTATTATTTGGAACTATTTGGAGGAAACCTCAAACTTCCATACTGCCTTTTCAAACCTCACTCCTCTACAGACAAGTATAAAAATATCTTTATTGCCTCATTCCAATTGTATCTTGGTCAGTGATCAGAAAACCAAAGCAATGTGAGCTGGGACAAAGTAGAATTAGAGTGAAGAAAGTAAGACTTACACCTGAAAGAATTATGGCAATTGGCACACCATGTAAACCTGAGGAATAGTTTGTCTGTTCAAAAAATAATTATTGAGCCTCTGCTGATGTCTGTCAGGATTTGTGATAGGCACTGAGGACAAATGGTGAGTAAGTAAAAGAGTGAGTAAGAATACTCAACACCCTTATCCCATGAGGTGTCCTCATGGGACTCCCATTAAAGGAAGATACCAAAAAAAAAAAAAAAGTAAAATTAATATATATATACATAATCTATACATAACACAAATAAATACAAAACAAAACAAAACAAACATTGGGACTAGTGCTTCAAAACAGAGGTAATTTCCAGTTAAAGATAGAGGACTGAACATGCATTTAAGTGTTCTTTTTACTGAATTCTCACTAAAAACTTGTAATGAAATTAAAAAAAAATAATAAAAAAGTGTAAACCCTGAAGAACAAATAGAATAGCAAAGGAGATTATAGCAACATTTTGGGAGTTGGATAGCAGGTGGACAAATGGTAACTGCTTTTGCAAAATAAAATTAAATTAACCAAATCTTAATCTCTCAATGACAAAAAATGGAAAGCCACCTGCTTTACACTGCAGAGCCTTCAAATGTTTGGGAATTACAATAAGCATCTCTAAAAGTGTGAGTAAAATAGGATGAAAACAGAGAGATGTGTCGTAAGTCTGTTTAAAATTCAGTTAGAGTGCCAGCTCCCTTTGCCCACTCCATGCTGTCAGGTGAGTCCTCCCTCCCCCCCCACCCCCCAGGACTGCTGGGTGAGTCTCTGGCGAAGGGAAAAGCAGGTTCCAAAGGGAGGATATGTATACTATATTACTCTGCTCAGGCTGCCATAACAAAATACCATAGACTGGGTGGTTTAAACAACAGACATTTTCTCACAGTTCAAGACAGAGACCAGAAGTCCAAGATCCAAGCATTGGTTTCTGGTTGGACTCTCTTCCTGGCTTGTGTGTGGCTGCCTTTTGTGTCCTCCTCAGTTGGCCCTTCCTCTGTGCACACTCATTGAGAAAGAGATCTCTGGTGTCTCTCTTCTTGTAGGGACATCAGTCCTGTTGGATTAAGACCTCACCTTTATGAGTTCATTTAAACTTTATTACCTCCTTTAGGCCCTGTCTCCAAATACAGTCACACTGGAGGTTAAGGCCTGAACATAGGAATTTCAGCAGGACACAGTTTAGTCTATAACAAATTCCTTGGTGAAAACAAAAGAGTTAAATAAATGTTTACCTGCCTCTGTTCTAACTTAGCATCCATTATCTATGCAGGAAACTACTAACGTCTTCTCTGTGATATTTGGACAACCTAAAGATTCTGACATGAGTTTTCCCAATACAGTGGCTCAATAGGGTCACCTTACAGCAAACCCCATCACATGCACAGTGGAAAAGACACTCAAGTGTGATGTAGCCCAAATTACCAGACTTCTAAGGAAAATCTATTTTTAGTTTTGTGTTAAATAGTGTTACATATTCATAAAGTTGAAAACAAATAGAAGGGTTGCAAGCAAAAGCAAGTGCTATTTCCTGCTAGCCATTGTTGAGTAATCATTATACCATATACATTTCTGTTTTTTGTGGTTATATTATAGGATCAGAATATTGACTTCTCATTTAAAATAACAGATTTAAGTACAAACTGAAAGGGATCCCTTCTATTCCTAACACATAGAAATGATAGGAAAAACATTAGATTTACAGACTTATAGCAGCACTAAAAAAAAAAAAAATCAATAGAAATCTCTATAGACCAGAAATACCTCCACTGCTCAACAAAGTAGCAGTTGGAAGCCTGGAAACACAGTTTGGAGGCAGCACAAGGAGACAGGCTGAGTGTGCAGGGCTTGAATCCAGACCTTTGCAAGGAGCCCTGGGGTGAATCTGCATAGCTCTCAATGCCTGAGGCTGGGACCCATGGGCAGAATATTGGTCAGCCAGGGCAGGTATGAAAACCTAACATCTCCTACCAGACCAATCAGGTCCTTGAGAACACAGAGCACTTGATCAGGTGTCAGCATTATCCAGAGGAGTGTATATTCTGATGGAGGAAAGTCCTTGATTATATTTAAGGATGTGTTAAATCGTTGTTCAATAATGCTTCCATATGGGTTCATTTTTTTTAGAAGCTAATTATATTCATTCAAATGTCTAACATAGAAATAAAAAAAAACCTGAAGAAATCCTGGATTAATTTGACCTGAGCATATATGTTTTCTTTAGCTGTGGATTGTTTTTTTCTTTACGAGGTTTGCTTTCAGAACATACACTGCATTCTAATCCTGTTGTTTTGTGCTTAATATTTATCATCCTCTAAAGACAAGTTAGGATATTTATATACAGGCCAGGCAAGTGGGAAGGTAATATTATTTTGTGAGATTTATTTATGAAGCCAATAAACCCTGCAAAAAGATTTCCTTTGACCATTTAAAAGTTTATAGCTCTGTTGAAACTTATTAAATATGCAAGTATTTTGTTGCCCAGCAAATGCATCACAGCAATCACTGAAATTTTAAACGAGCCACCTCTCATTATAATTACTAAGGAAAATGAAAAAAAAAAGCCCACTAACTAGTCAGATTTATTTAGACAAGTAAAAGGATTGAATGTATTAAAAAATTAAATATATATATTTATCAACTCTACTTTTATGGATTTTTCTGTGTCTTTGAAATACCATACAAAGTTATCACACATATGGGACAAACTTCTTTGTTTTTTGTGGTTTTGTTCTTAATGTTGTATTAACTGAATTATAGACAGTTGATCCTAATGATATGGGTTGTAAAAGATAACAATTACTTCTTGAAATGAGCACAGTCACGTTTGTAGACATGGAACTCAAGAAACATTATGTATTTTGTTTATAGATATATGATTGTTAGTATATATCATAAGTAACTATTATATATAGTAAGTATATATATTAAATGATTTACATAAGGTAGATAGTCTTATTGAAGTCTCAAGCCTCATATGACAAATACGTTGTAAAATTTCTTTTGAAATGTCAGTGAATGAAGGTGATCTTTAGTTTAATTGTGATTTTATTACATGTCTGTTTTGTTCTCTACAATTTGTGTTTTATCAGGAGAAATATTTCTACTATTTCTTATTGACCAAAGGAATATGAATTGACTGTGTCTACAAATGTGTATTATAAATGATATTTTTAAAACTTGGTACTTTTTTTTTTTCAACGTTTTTATTTATTTATGGGACAGAGACAGAGCATGAACGGGGGAGGGGCAGAGAGAGAGGGAGACACAGAATCGGAAACAGGCTCCAGGCTCCGAGCCATCAGCCCAGAGCCTGACACGGGGCTCGAACTCACGGACCGTGAGATCGTGACCTGGCTGAAGTCGGACGCTTAACCGACTGCGCCACCCAGGCGCCCTGGTACTTTTTTAAAAAAAGTTTTAGTCACTATTATCCTTCAATTTTCTTTACTTTTTTCAGTTGTATATATTAGAGAAATGGTTCTTAAGACAAGTTGAAAAATGAATAAGTTCACACTGTTTGTTTTATTAGGAATAGATCATTTTAGAAAATGTTTTTACATATATTTGTATTTATCTTGTTTGTTGCAAATCCCACCCAGGTTCCCTTTTTGCCTGGATTCCTAGGAAATTCTGAGGAAATTTGACTGAATTGGAAGTAACAAAAACATTTAACAGTTTTTGTTTGTTTCTCATCTGCATATATTGTACTCTAATGCTATTTTTTATAATGCTCCCTCACTTTGTAACCAAAGAAACCTCAAACCCTGGTTGGAAGTAGATGTTGTATAAATCATGAAATAATTAAAATAATTATATGGTAAGCACAGTAAAGAGCAGCGGAAGTCAAATTTATTTTTGCTAGTTGCCAGCTACCTAAATGTGTTATGAGCAAACAGACAAGTTGTATAGTTGGGGCAATGATAGAATCTTCCAGGTTCTTAAAACCACAGCCTTTATTTCACCATAAAATTTCCCTAAAAGAAGTAGCAGGAGGGTAATAAAAATTATTACGTGTACAAATTGATAGAGTAGTTGGAGAGGAGGAGGAGACAATTAGCACCTACATTTTTTCATAGACATAGAAAAGAATTCCAATTTCAGATGAGCAGAAAAACTATTAATAAAACATTTTATATGGAGCCAACAATTTTGCAAAACATGGAGTAAATTCCCCTTATAATTAATGTCATATTATCAAGATGCTAGAAATAGAATTGCTGAAGAATATTATTAGTATTATTATTAAGCCTACTCTTCCCTGGGTGCATAAAAATTACAAAGGGCTAGATACATGCATTTCAGCTTATAAAAATGTTGTAATGTGGACATAAATTTGCTTTATGAAACTCATGGTTGACCCTCTGAGAAGCAATAATCCCTGGAAGCTGTCTCCAGTTACAAATCCTTAACCATGCACTAGCTACCTACAGAGGCGGCAGGAATTTACTACTTGAAACACAGAATGGAAAGTTCTGAGAGTTAGCCTAACTACAAACCTTATAAATAAGCAAATCCACAATAACATTTGCATCTGCTTAAAAAATTATACAGAACATGGATGGCAGGTAGGAGATCCATCATGAATCCTCTTATTAAACACTAACCAGCTGGGGGCCCTATCATCTTCTCTTGGCAAAATATTTGAAATTAAACTAAAATTAGAAACATGCAGGGAAATGTTGGTAATGAACATCAGCCTCCTATATTTGACTTACAGGGAGTTGATAATGTATGTAGACAATGCTTCCCAATGTAACCTTGAAACTTTCTTTTTTTCTAAGAGAGGGTGATCTTCTAAAGTAAAGATTTTCAAATCTTGATAAGCTTTCAGGAAGTTTAAAAATGTTTTTACCCTGCAATGCGGATAGTTCTTGATGTGTCAACATTAATTCAAAAAAAGCTCTTAGGAAAAAGAAAAAGAACAAGGAAAACCATCTTGAAAGAATTTCAGTTTGTTTAATTTTTAACATTTTCTTATGGCATGATGATGATACTGAAATATCTTAGAAGAACAACTGTTGGTTTCAGAAATGCAGTTTTAATCAAAAGATAGGTCAAATAGGTAAATTTTCCTTTAAAAACATGCTAAAAAAGTCTGATTTGTGGTCCTTTGATGTTAAGAACCCTTGATTCTTCAGTGCTTTTAGGTTATATTTGAAATAAACATTTCCATTAATGTTCTGAAACTTTAATATTTGCACCATCCTCACATATTCCTGCATACATATGCACACACATTAAATAGACTGTCTCCTTCACAAAGTTCACTAGCAGGTGAGGAGATCTTTTTTGTGGAGTACTTGGTTGAATTTGGAGTGTTCTAAGATGAGATAATTTTTGTGCATCCTGACAGATAAATTATTCAAGACAGTGAGGGATTATTTACAAAGAATTGATCCAACCATTAGTATGCCATTGAAAGTGGGGGCTAGGGTGGGCTGGAAGCAGGGTCAAGTGTATGTCTACATTAATTGTGCCTAGCACAAACGGTTCATTACATTCTTTACAAAAAAAAAAAATTAGGTTATCCACAATGAACACTGTATTGTTTAGAGGACTAAAATTTTCAAGAAATCTACAGTCATTTTAATCAGAGTGTAATTGTTAAGCAAAAATAGGATGTCTAAACTTCATCCGAAAGTCTCCCTCCCTTCCTGCCTCTTCTATTTCTTTGTTTTCATTTTGTGGTAACTAACTTATTGAATTCTTTTTTCTTCTCATTACATTCTTTCAGATGCTTCTGTATCTATGAAATCTCCTCTCTCTTTATATTACTTTTCCTTCCTTTTCTCCTTTCACTTTTCCTGCCAAAATATTTTTTGAAATAAATGGTTTTCAGAAATGATGCATGTAATTAGCTTCAGAGAATTAAAGATAATATCACGTTAGATATCTTAGATAATGTTTTGTTTTAGAAATAACAGTAAAAAACCATACCATAATGCAAAGAAACAAATATAGTAAAGCTGGCAGCATTTATCTTACATATTTCCAAAGGATTTTCATATTGTAGGAGAAGACATATGCCACTATATGCAACATAAGGTTATCATATTCATATCTATCTTGTATGTCTAGGACAAATTTTATTTACTGCTAGGAATGTAGAATGAGATTGGTCTCACTGACTTCAGATGCTGTTCACCTTAACAAATGACCAGGGATATTTCTCTAACCAATTGTTTACCAACCTTGCACATCAAATGATCAAATGGAGACATCTATCTGCTAAATGCAACATAAAGTTTTTCTTGACTAGATGACTGTGTTGAAATATAAATTTCTAAGTTATAAACTTATTTCTAGTGGCCTCTCCTCAAGTGAATTTATCCTAAAATCTATCTATAAATTAGATTAATTATTGTACTTATTGTCTCTTCTTTTAAAATGGAACTCTAACAGAAATATCTCTTTGGATATGAAATATGGGATTTGTATTGTACATGTTCTCTAACATCTGATACAGCTTTACAAACATTAAGGCACCCATTTTTGTCAGTGGTGGTTAAGTAGATTTTTCCTATTCCACAGGTCTAATTGCTTTTAAGAGACATCATAAGAACTAAAAATAAGGAAGTATTATTATTGTTGTTGTATTACTCTGAGTTCTTCAGTATCCAATATATGTTTTGTCTCTAGGTCTATTTCTAGCACTCAAACCCTCCTTACTAAGAATGAGATCAGATTATGATTGTGTAGTGGATATATTAATTTTGCATGTGTTCTCCACCAGATGATACCTATCTATATTAATTATCTTGTATCTCGGTGTGTATGAATAAATCCCAGAGCTATTTAGGTCTTTGTATTTTGCTTCCTAGCTCTTTTGTCTTATAAACTACTATATGTCTCACTGCAATAACAGTGAATTATGTTTGGCAAACTAGCTGTCTTTATTAAAGGTGAGTTTTAATTGGACATTTGAAACAACCAGCTTTAAACCTGTGATTGGCCTTGATTTCTTTCGAGATACACTTACCACAAAAATGTACTCTGTGGGAATTTGGTAAACTACCTGATAATAGGATAAATCATTTTTAGTTTACAGGAAAAAGCAAATGCTTCATTATTTTGTTGCTATTATTTACTATATCAAAAAGTATAATTTTAGCTAGCTATGTGCATGTGAGTCCAGATATCATTTGGCAAAATGAGTCAAGCGGGAAAACTTCCATTTCTTTGTGATGACACATCAAATATGTCCTTATCTCTAAAAGCATTAAGCATGAAGGAGCAAAGCCTTCCTACTTTGTTTTTCCAAGTAACTTTAGCATGAATACAAAAATCTAAATTATGATATGTTTACTCTGCAGGAGCCAATGAGAAAGAAATAGCCCTAATGAATGGTTTGACTGTTAATTTACATCTTCTACTGGTAAGTTTCCTTTCCCACCAATGTTTAGTATACACTCATTTGTAGAATCTGACATTTTTCTATCTTTAATTCATGAGCATCTGGTGGTTTACTTATTTAAAAATAAGTTGTGAGGTTATTTTCATTTTTACCAGGAAATGCTGGACTGTGATAGAAAGGCTTCTTCATAATCATGGGAGAGTTGACTCTTGCTAAGAGCTTTAAAATGATGAACAGTTCTTATCTCAGAACATAAGGAATAAAAGTCACAGTGGGTTAAAAGCAAAACTGCTTGCAAGCACACAAAACAATGATGTGCAAATGCCAGCAAACACTGAGGTTTTCAGAAAGAGTTTTCCAGTATGCTGGACATTAGCAGGGTGGGATTATGGATCAGTTATGTTTTTGTATATTAATTTTGGAGGAGTAGGTTAAAAAAGAATTAAAAAATAAAACTAGCTTGGAGTGGGGCGCCTGGGTGGCGCAGTCGGTTAAGCGTCCGACTTCAGCCAGGTCACGATCTCGCGGTGCATGAGTTCGAGCCCCGCGTCAGGCTCTGGGCTGATGGCTCAGCCCGGAGCCTGTTTCCGATTCTGTGTCTCCCTCTCTCTCTGCCCCTCCCCCGTTCATGCTCTGTCTCTCTCTGTCCCCAAAATAAATAAACGTTGAAAAAAAATTAAAAAAAAAAAAAAAACTAGCTTGGAGAAAAGGGATCTAATACCTTAAATGAGTTACTGTATTTAAAGTGTTTCATAATGCCTAAGTACTTAATAAATATGTATACCTTAAGATGTCAAATATATTCTTGATTTGGAATATGGTGCCTATAGTAACTGCTTGATGCTTTGAAAAATATTTTCATTTTTAAGCAAGTTTTTGGAAACATGTCTATGTAACCAAGGTACACAATGACTATATTAATATTTTATTTTAATGAAATGAAGAAATGATTATGAAATATCCCCAGAGGGACATGTTCATGAATTATGTTAAACATGATGGTAAATAGCATAGTTTTAAGTCAGACGCCCTGGGGTTTGATTCTTAGCTAAGTAACTTAATGTCTGTTTGACCTTGGACAAGATTTTAGTGATTTCTAAATCTTCATTTTCTCCTTTGTGAAAATGAGAACAAGAGTACCTACCTTGCAGGTATACACGGAGGGTGAAATGTGATATGTGAAAATTGCTTTAGCACTTGGCCAATGATTAACACTGAGTTAACAGCAGCAATCATTCCATTGCTATTGTTGTTATTGTTATCTTCTAGGAACTGTGGGCGGGAAAGAAAGGCCCCCTGAACAAATAAGCCACTTCTCCCTGGTGCCTCCAAAATGCCAAATGTCTCATGTCAGGCCTGAGGTACTTTTAGTTGGACCTAAAATAAAATCTTATAAAATCATAAAGCAGTGGAAATATTATGTACCAGAAACCAAATCAACAGCCTAAGATAAATCAATATCAATAAGATTTATATAGAACATGATATTTCAGCCTCATGATAGAGAAATCACCATTAAAAGCACTAGGAAGATAATTTATCAATTAAAATTTAAGTAAAGTTTGAGAATTTGTTTTTATCTGATTCACATTGTCTCCCAAATTTGCTTTTCCATTGATAAATGTAATGAACCAATACCTTTATCTTTTTTGTAATTCATTGGAAATAAGGCTAATTGGCAGAGGTACCCTTGATAGACATGCAGACGTGTAATTAAGTAATGCTGGAGATGTGTAATTAAGTAATGTGGTATACAATGAACACAGGTATAAATTGTGCATTAATGCTTTTCTCAATAAATCCATTTCATTGCAGCTATCATTTTTTAAGCCTACACCAAAACGGTATAAGATTCTTTTGGAAGCGAAAGCCTTCCCTTCAGATCATGTAAGGATTCTTCAAATTATATTTATATTCTTTCTACTCTTCCTAGAGGAGCACACCATTTGCCTGCTTTGAATGTTTATTCACTAATCTCTTCCAAGTAACCTTACAATAAAAACATCTGTCAAGTGCTTTTGATTAGGCATTTTTAAAATATAGACTGTAGTTTTTTTTTTTTTCCTCCTGTTCAAGTAAAACATGTGTTAGGGGAGGAAAGGATTGAATAGGAACATTGATTTATTAGTCTTTTTAAAAACATTGAGTGAACTGCTGGTTTAAATCAAGTGCAGTTATAAATGTTTTATTAACTCTTGTTGCTGTTTTATTTTATGAAATCAAATCAATACATACCCCAGTGCTTAACCCTTCAGCTACATAGAATAAGGGTATAAACTTTTATTTGTCGATAGCATGCTAGCATAATTATTGCTGCTTTATTATTGAAAAAAATATTTATTAAAGATTAAAAGTTTTTTTTGTTGTTCATTAAATCTTGCTACTTTAAGAAATTTGATTGTTCCAGACAGAGACACAACTAAAAGTGTATTGCGTGTTTCAGATTTAGTGCTAGACAAATTTGATTTCTGTCTTTCTGTTATCACTGCTAACTATTCTAACCCACATCTTGTAATTTTAAGTCATTTAATCATATTAATAGCCATTACTTCACTAAAAAGGATGAAAACCCTAATATTAATTATTGCTTAATAATTATATATTATTGACATTATTAATCAAATTAATAGCCATTACTTCACTAAAAAGGATGAAAACCCTAATATTGAGAAAAATTCAGGATCCCTGTAATTTCCTGTTCCCATTCATATCCTGTAGGCTCAGGGAAGGGAAATTTCTGATCTTCTTTCCTTTTATTAGTTACTCTTTTTAGGGTAAAGCCTTTCTTTTTAGGGTAAGCCCTTTTTATACTCTAGTTCAAACATAGCAAGTCCACAGTACTCACTCTGGTTATTTTGTAAGCTCCATTTTTGACTTGTTAGGTGACAAGACATCTTCTAAAAATCACTTGGAACACCCTAAAGTCTAGATGAAAAATGTAGTGCTTCAAGGAATGTTCATATTCCTGTGTATAAACTATATTAAGCAGTTCTTCTCTGATGTGTTCTGTTTAGTCACTTTTAACCTTGACCTTAAAGTTAATATAATAGTGTGCTTTTATTGTCATTTTATTATCTCTTTTTGGAGTTATTTTAATGTATTTCTGTGCATTGGACTTGATTTAATAAATCATTCTTCTTTTCCAGTATGCTGTTGAGTCACAGCTTCAACTACATGGACTTAACATTGAGAAGAGTATGCGGATTGTAAAGCCAAGAGAGGTATGAGAGAAAGATAAATAAATATTCATTATGCTTTTTATTTGGGATTGATTTTTTTTCTTCAGTTTCCTCAGAAGTTTATTATCTTCATTACTTTAATAGAACTTTCAAGAAAATATAAAAGACCTATACTTCTGTTACTGTTAGCTAATTTTGCTTACAATGGAGAATTAACTAAGAGGTGTATTTATTTTCATGTTTCAAGGGATAGTCATGTTACAAGCAAACTATTTTCCTTTGAATACCACTAGAGTCTCTCATATTCTTCAGTGAGATGGAAAGGATGGCAAATTACATATATCATTTTCAGTTTCAAGCGCCATAGCTTATGGATGCCTTTAAAATTATATTGTTGAAATATCTCTTTTTACTCTAAGTATCAGATGTTGTCCTTTGTGCTTGACTCAAAGCAGGTGTAGAGAGGGATATGGTTTAGTGGAAAGGACTTGGGCTTTTCAGCCTGGCTAATACACTCCACAGAAATCCCAGACCCATCAACTTATTGGGCAAGGGACTTTGAGATAGTTACTTTATCTCTCTGCAATACCTTCATATTTAAACAGGTAACAAAGGAAATACCTAATCAGGTTTGACATATGTTTACGATCTAAAATACTGTGTACTTTACATTAATAGAGATGTATGTAAGGCTAAGTTGCACAGACTTTGACATATGAACCTTGTAGCTTGTGTAATTTGGCATCAAGAGATCTACACAGAATAAATTGTAGGTCTCACAAATGATGCTCCCAGGCTATTAAGCCAATGTTGAACAATTATTTCTTTCAATTCAGAATACTTTGAGAAATTAAAATCTACTCCATTTAGTTCTATTTGCCAACATGCAATAAATTAATGGAATGGAAAGTTCTCATACCTGTGACAGCATATCTATTTCATACCTCATATAAAAATTGCTAATTTCTACTAAAAATGAATATAGCCACTAATTTACCAGACGTTTTAATGTTAAGAGAGACAAGTGTTGTGGAACCTCATGAGTTAATCATAATCTTGGGAACATTCTTTAGCATTACGAGATTAGAGAAATTCAACATCAGAGAGAACCACATTCTGCCATTAAAAATATATTTCTTATTTGCTTTATACTGAATCCTCAAATATATAGATTGTTAATATATAATACTTCTATTAATCTTCTTTTTGAAATTATGGTGGACAAATATATTGGATTCTTCCCAGAAAAAGGTTTTGGATTACCATGCTATTAATTTTACTTAGAATTTTTCTTACAATTACTGAAATCATTCTTTTTACATATAAAGTATACATCAGTTAACAATTTAGAGATTTCAGCATCGATACCATTTTTATAGATTTCAATTTTGTAAACAAGTTCCAACCTTCTAGTAGAAATTAAAGTGTGTGCTGTATTTGTGATATATATGTGCCTAACATGGGACATAGTAATGGACAAATAGCAACAGTTACCAAAAATTAAAATAACTGAAGGAAAATTTATGAATACCTTAAGGAGTTTCCCTCAGATATTAATGGAGTTAATTATACTTTGACTTCAAAACTATGTCAGATTTAGCACAGTAGAAAATTCATAAAAACTTTATGAATGATTAAGAATGATTAGGACAAGTAGATACTTTGTATTTATTTAGCTGATTTCTTTTTGCTCAAGTTGTTTGCAAGACCAAATCTAAATTAATTAGCCATTTTCTCTAAGTAAGCAATAATTAGTCTTAGCTGGGGATAAGTAGGGAAAACTAACCTTGATAATATTGACTTTTATTGATATTTCCCTTGATTTTTGGATCTTGATCCTTAGATCAATGTGGAGGAGAGTTTCTCCTTAAAGTAACAGAAAATATTGATTAGGTTATATTCAGATGAAAGATCTATAAGGATTTTTTATCCTGGAAAAAATTGTGATAGGTTGATAAATGAAATAATAATTTTCAAGAAATTTTCGCCATTTAATATTTCATGGACTTCTAGTACTTTCTGATACTTTACTGGATGGGAAGGAGGAGAAAACAATTCGTAGGTATGGAGATACTGAAGATTAATTGAAAAACTGAAGAAAAAACTCAAGTGAGTAGGGTTTTGCAAAGACTTTACTTTATAAACATTTTTTTTACTATTTTATTATCATTTCTTATAACAAAAAACCATACCAAAATTCTGCTCTCTTGTCAGATTTTTGACGACCATTAATCTGAAAAAAAAATTGTCTTTGATTGTTCTTAGGTGGGAAAAGTTCAAGGTGAATTTTATTTTTTTTTATGTTTATTTGTTTTGAGAAAGAGCCTGCATACTCACACATGTAGGAGAGGGGTAGAGAGAGAGAGGGAGAGAGAGAGAGAATCTGAAGAATGCTCCACACTCAGTGCAGAACCTATCATGGGGCTTGATCCCAGGACCATGAGATCATGACCTGAGCCAAAGTCAAGAGTCTGACGCTTAACTGATTGAGCCACCAGGTGCTCCATCAAAGTGAATTTTAGATTGGAAAATTTAAAGTGATAAATTTATTATTGTGGATTTGGTGTAATTTGTGTCTAACTTGACTTTAGGGGGAAGAAACATTGAGAACAGAGGATATCCTTGAAGTAATTGAGAAGGAAGGAGACTCAATTGCAGTGATCCTGTTCAGTGGGGTACATTTTTACACTGGACAGCTCTTTAATATACCTGCCATCACAAAAGCTGGACAAGCAAAGGTATGCACATCATTTTCTCCTTCCCACATTGCCCAAAAAAATCACTCTACTGAGAAGTATGCTTACTGCACATTGTAGTGAAATCTTTTTGTTTGCACCCATGTAAAATTATTTCAACAGTTAAAAGCAAAACAAAACAACACAGTCTTACATTTAAAAAAAAATCTGTAGTCTTTTGCTTGAGGCATCTCTTTTTAAACCTCTTTTTGTCACTTCTATGGCCTCACTTCCTTACTACCTTCTGCTCTCCTAAAGTTTGCCTCTAATCAGTAAGACAGGTGAGGTTTCTGCATGCAGGTGATGTCATTTGTACTGAGTTATGCCATCACCAGGCACCAGACAGAATACTTCAGAAAATAACTGCATATGCCAGGATTGTTCAAAACACAACGCTACTACTTTGTCATGCTATAACTCATTCTAAATATAACTCAGTTCTCACTTAACCCTAGGTGCTCAAAGAAAGGGAGATGCAGAATAAAAATTAACCGTCGATTTTTACACAGTGTACTTTTAAAAAGCCACTTTGTTCTTAAGAATGTTGAGAAATTATTGGGGCGCCTGGGTGGCGCAGTCGGTTGAGCGTCCGACTTCAGCCAGGTCACGATCAAGCGGTCCGTGGGTTCGAGCCCCGCGTCAGGCTCTGGGCTGATGGCTCAGAGCCTGGAGCCTGTTTCCGATTCTGTGTCTCCCTCTCTCTCTGCCCCTCCCCCGTTCATGCTCTGTCTCTCTCTGTCCCAAAAATAAATAAATGTTGAAAAAAAAAAAAATTAAAAAAAAAAAAAAAAAAAAAAGAATGTTGAGAAATTATTATCCTGCCAATAACGAGAATTTTTCCATACGTATTACTAAATCACACTTAAATTGCTTACTATTTTGAAGCTGCATCTTTTTATATAAGTGTTTATAAAAAAGTGTTTTTAGTGTTTGTTTGCCTGAAAAAGGAAATCAGAGGATCAATGTTCAACAGTTACAATTTGTATTTAAAATCCTTACATAACAGTTCTATGTGATTCAACGATGAAATTATGCATTTAAAAAGGTGACAATCGAATTTTCTTCTGAACATTAACAAGTTATGGGATTAATATATGTGTGAGGTCTAGTTAATATATTCAGTTATTGAAGCTAATGAATAGAACTAATGAAAAGAAATTTAGCACCGTTATCCGCTGTCTCTAGGAATTTCCAACCACGGCTTCCAACTGGTTTGATGGATAACTGTGAAGGTGGTGCATTACGAAAGATATAAAGATAATGTCTTCTTAATTTAGGCTTTAAATGTTAAACACCAAAATAAAGAGAGGTCAATAAAAAATTATATTTTTCAGTGCTATGCGAGTAACCAGCAGTCCCTGATCCCCTTAGTGTACATGCATGTCTCATTAACCTTCATTGAAATGAGGCAGGAAGATAGAGAAGAAAGACCACGGGCTTTGGAATCACAGTCTGAGCTTTAAACCTTAACTAGGTCATTTAATTGTTATATGATCTCAGGCAAATCACTTGACTTTTCTGAGCCTCTTTCACAAGTGTTAATTTGGGACAACAGGACCCACTTTATAAATCCAGTGTTGAGAAGGAAGAATGTAAAGTATCCACTGTATTGCACACATTCCACTGTTTAGTTAGGGAACCCTCACACCTTCTACTGACCTCAACAAATACAAAGCTATGGAGTGTGGCTCAGATATCTATTTTCTTTTATTTCCCATGTAAAAGCAAAATAAATTTGTTTGCTTAGGTGCCACAGGTAATTCTCATTCTTAACTACTTTGGTTGCTAAAACCGTTCTCTTGGTATTTTTCAGGCTTTCTTTTACTTAAAAAGTATAATAAATGCCTGCCACATGAAATTCTCATTGAGCTTTCAGTCAAATGAAGGTAGGAATGAGCAGTTCCATCTAAATGTAACTGCACAGAAGTGACAGAGACTATGCGAGTGAAATGGTGACAGAGTAGACTTCAATTTATCCATTATCAAAATTATTCTAACACTCATTTATACTCTTTCTTGCTAGACAATTTCCCACATTCCCAATGGATGTTGAGAAAAGTTATTTGAAATGTACACTTACATAGCTCTCTTGGGTGGTCTATGAAGATAAAGCTGAAGACAAAGGCAGAGAGAAAATTAAAGGTGTCAGTCAAAAACGAGTTAGGAAATCCTGGGGAGAAAATGGCATAAAAGAGTCACTGTGAGAAATGGCTAAATAAGATTTAAAAAAGAAGAAAGTTTCCAGAAATGAAGTATGGCAGGAACCAAAATGATCTTGGGATGGAACAATGAAAGTCAACAAGAATAGTTTTTATTTCAAAATCATGTGAAAGGAAAGTTAGGACAGGAATTGCACATATACCAAAATGAGCACACATCATAACTAAGTGGCTTGTTGAGTTATTCTGAACCCTTATAATCATCATCCACTTTAAGAAACTTCTAGAACATTTATGCCACTCAGAATTCTTAGTTGTGCCTTTTTCCAAAGGTACCACCAAAGGTACCACTCCTGACTTGCAGCCATTTATATTAACTTTGTCCATCTATAAACATGTTAATATATCCTCTTTTGTATCTGTCTTATTTGCTCACTATTATGTTTCTGAAATTCACTCGTGTTGTATGTAACAGTAATTTTGTGGAGATTTTGGTACCAGTAGTTTTGTTTTTCTTTTCATTTCAGTATATTGTTATAGTGTATGAAATAGATCACAATATTTTTGTTTTCCATTCCTTTTTTTAAAAAAACTTTTTTTTAATGTTTATTCATTTTTGAAAGACCAAGAGAGAGCACAAACAGGGTTGGGACGGAGAGAGAGGGGGACACAGAATCTGAAGCAGTCTCCAGGCTCCCAGCTGTCAGCACAAAGCCCAACACAGGGCTCTGACTCACAAACTGTGAGATCATGACCTGAACCAAAGTCAGACGCTTAACCAAGCCACCCAGGAGCCCCTGTTTTCCATTCTAATCAAGACAGATATTTGCAGTTTATTTCTACTTGAGAGCCATTGCAATAAATGCTATACTGAACATTCTCGTATATTTTTTTAGGTAATCATTCACACCGATTTCTGTTAAGTATATATACTTAGAATTGAAAATCTTGGAAATATGGTATACATATGTTCCATCCTAATCAATAAAACCAACTTTCCAAAGGGTTGTATCAATTTGGTATATATGCCTATCAGTAGGTATGAGAGTGTCTGCTGCTTTATATCCTCACCAATAGCCAATCTGATTAGTTTGTAATGGTAATGCATTGTAGTGTTAATTTGCACTTCCCTGACTATTGATGAGGTTGGGATCTTTCAAATGTGTTTTTGCATGAGTACTATCTTTTATGAAATACTTGTTCAAGTGTCTTGCCCAATTTTATATTTGGTTATGTCTTTTTTATTTGGTTGTAGGTGGTATAGAAATTGATTTTGAAGCATAGAAAAAATACAAGATTTCTAGTGATCATCTAAAAATTAAAAATAACTAATGAATCAAAAGAACAGTTGATACTATAGTTTTGATTCATGTAACAAATTTCAGATGCTGAGGTTTTTCTTAAATGAGAAGGCCTGAGGTGGTGACAAGTGGGGCAGGCCAAGGAAAATTAAACATAGCATCAGGTTAGAGAATCACATTATAAGGGAAGGTCAGCATACAAAAATAGATCTTAATTTGAAGATACATTTTTATTTTTTCTTTGAAGCCATCTACTTTATTTCATATTATTGGCCAACCCGCTATTTTGGAGCTCTGCCTTACGTCTCTACTTCTAAATTTTCATATTCTGTTACTTGTTTCTGCTAATCATTTCTTCTTTTCTACACCCACTGAATGTAATTGTTCCCCATTGTCCTTTGAATTACTATCCCTAGAGATTTTAACCACTGCCAAGATTCCATTCTCACTGCCAAGTGAAACTACAGGGTACTCCCACACTCAAAAATGGTTATTTATGCTCATCTGTGTCTTAAACCTGGAAATCCTACATGCACTTTGAAGTCAGCATGCTCTAGTTTGTATCCCCCTAAAATGTCCCTACTATTTCATGCCACCACCCTTCTGGACCTTTACAGGCAACTCTAACATGCTCCTCTTCTGTGCCTTTTCAACCAATCACTTCTTAATTCCATCCTCTCAGGTTTGGTCTTTTTTTTTTTTCCAGTTTTTTTTTTTTTTTTTTTTTTAATGTTTATTTATTTCTGAGACAGAGAGAGACAGAGCATGAGTGGGGGAGGGGCAGAGAGAGGGAGACAGAATCAGAAGCAGGCTCCAGGCTCTGAGCTGTCAGCACAGAGCCCAACACGGGGCTTGAACTCACACACTGTGAGATCATGACCTGAGCCGAAGTCGGTCGCTCAACCGACAGCCACCCAGATGCCCCTGGTCTTTTCTTTAATATTCCTAAATCAATTATGAAGTTTTTACACTTTAAGAAACAAAATGCCTGTGGGAAATTAGCCAAAAATTAGGAACTTCTTTTTCCCATCATTAAAGATTTGAATTAGAAGCCTTCTGGGATGCAGTAAGCAGTTGAGTAACGTCTAAATGGCATCTCCAGGGCTCTCTTGTTTTTCTTCTTAGGCTTCTCACATCACGGTCACAAGACAGTTGTCCCAAATCCAGATATCACAATTCTATTTAAGGCAGAGAGAAGGAAGGAAGGAGAAGTAGCAGTGCAGCTTAATCTATCCCTTTCATCCAAAGTGCAAAATTATTCCCAGAAAAAGCTAGCAGATTTCTGCTTATGATTCATTGCCTTCTGAAGTGGTAGCTTCAAAAGAGCATGAGTAAAGAAATTTTTAACCTTTATGGTCTTATAGTAGAAAGAAGTTAAGGAAAAGGGGTTGGGAAAGAGTTTGAGTTACCAACCCACAGTATTTCCCATTTTGACCCTCATGGGGCATTTTTTTTTTAAACTTATTTCCTCTTTCCTCTTCCATCCCTTCCTAATTTTTCATTTTTTGCTTCCTTTCTTTTATTTCTTTCTTACTTTATTTTC